ATTGCGCCGTCGCTGTCACTCCACGTTGTTTCATTATTCTAATTTAACCGAGTACATATTTATTTAGCCTAAACGCACACGCATGTGTATTGGAAAACGTTCTGAAAAAAGTGACAACGCCGATAACAGTGATGTTACTAAGTACGCTTATTTATTTAGATCTTTATATCTTTATTTTTAAATAATCGTATTTGCGACGACGTCATTCCCTCTGTTTTTCTTTTTAGAGTATCGCGTCTTTATTTGTACCTTTTAAGCTTATTTTTAGGTCTCCGTTCTTCTTCCCGTTCACGTTATTCTTTTTACGCGGGTTGAAACTGCGGAACTAAAAACCAATCGTGAGACTGCAGACGTTTGCAGCAAAGCGAGAAATGTTTTCCCACAATCGAGACTCGCGTATTCGATAACAGGGAAAACAACGCGAAGGTCCAGATGGCCGTGTTGCGATGTCGGCTGTGAATCGCGGAGATAAACGCGAGCCATTCCCTCGCGGTTCACCTGTAACACGCTGGAGGAACGATAATAACCGGAAGCGTATCGAGACGAGGTCCATTACCGGGGCTGTCGCAGAATCCCTCGGTCGTTTTCGTTCGCCGATACCGACGCTGGAAATTAGCTGCAATTAGCGGGGCACGCGGCTGCAATGTGTACACGGGATAATCCCGTAAATACCACTTGACAGGAAAATCCGTTAGTTTTCTCGCTTTGCGGCAAACGCGGCATGCGTTTTAAACACGTACATTATCTGTATTTAAAGTCTATCACACAGTCTGTCCATAAAATCCTAATGCCGATCAATGTGGTATAATTTTGTGGTTCTACAATCAAACGCGCAGAGAAATTTATACTTATCATTGGTACAGATTTCTTGTAGAGTAATTAAAAAATATATAAATTAGAAGAGGCATATTAGCCTTTTAAAGTTTGACGTTAAGGTTTTTATATAAAGATGACTGTTCCTGGTTTTGTCTTCATGTGTACTTTAATCGTGTGGAAGAATTTTGCCATTTTATAAAGCCAATTTCAAATTTAGTTAGAACTACGAATTAAAGTATGAAAATGATATGCGGTCCGTAACTTGTCCTGGTATTGTTTTGTGCATAAAAGTTAATAAAAAGAATTACAAGCGCAAAAACTATATCTGACTGTGTCGGTAAAAAAGATGGCTGAAGGATCCTCTTTGTTGAAAAATTATTGAAAATAGAGCGAGGGCAGGCGGAAGCTGAAACGACGCGTTTAATTACGATGGTAAATTATGGATAACAAATCCGATTCGAAATGAACTTGTCGCATAAATCGCACGTTTCAGTTGGGATTGCGGTCTGCCGATGCTAATTAATAGCGATTAATGAGCCCGGTCCGGCGAACCCCGCCGGGAAAAATGTAAGGATCGTACGAACCCCCGACGTAGCCGCTTCGGTGATTAGAACTCGGAACGAGAGCAACAAGTGGCGCACGATGTCTCTCATTATCGGCCAGTTATGGATAGACTCGCCTCTTCTTTGTTTTATGGAGGGTTTGAAAATTTCACGGCGGCTTATCGCGATACGTCCGACCCGACTATTAATAATCGACGACAGACACGAGTGTGAAGGCCTTGCATTATTCACATCCAATACCGTCGCGGTTCTTCTCCGGCAATCGCGCTAGATTGGAATCGCATCTAGATATTTCGAGACCTACGTCGGGTCGTGCGAGATAAAAGCATTAAAATGTCCAGAACATTTCGAGAAAAAGAACGAACGCTTTATGTACATTTTGTTATATTAATGAGACATAGAAGCGCGAATTATTATCTTTCTAATTACCGTTTTGTTCGTTGATCCAGACGTCGCGGATTAAAGAATTTATAAAAGAATCTAATAAAAAAAAAGAAGTACCGCTTCCTCCGAGCGTTTCGCGATAAAGTCGACATTTGAAATTCCACGGGAATCAAGCTGCAGCCAAAAAATTAGCACGTTGATTTACTCCGTGCAGCATATACGCCGTATCTCACGTGGCATCTCGACATGCTGCACTTTCCCACTTGCACGTTCTATCTCGAAGCACCAGAACGTGACCGTAGCTTTTTCGTAAGTTCCTCCTCATTCCTTACCTTCTTTCTGATCGCTCGTAGGAACTTGAGACGTAGAGTCGAAAAAATACCTTAATGATATACTCGTTTATTTGCTAAAATTTCATATCCTCCAAACTGTTACCCAGTTTATGCGACCTTCCGTCAAAATTCGAGCTCCTTTTCGTAGGGATTTCAGTTTTATCGCGCTAACAAAATTGTTTTCTCTCTTTATTTCAAGCTCGCGGATCCCACCTACATTCCGGGAAACATCCACGTTTTCGTCCCCCCCCTTTTTTTTATAGACAAGGTCGATTCGGTCCCCAGAGAGGAGTAATCCTCCCCGATTATCCTGCCCGGATCTCGCGGAAATGCAGCGAGTTCACACGTGAAAGAGACGCAATCTTTCAGGGAGGGTTGCAACGCGTTGTAACCCGCGATAATTCCGTTAATGCACACATGTCGTGCAGCTCTAACGAGTTATAATCAGTCGAGCACCGGCTGAGTACAGTTTAATGGTTTATTCCCCGCATTAGGCACCCTTCTAGTCCCTCTTTCCCACCTTGGCTTCTATCTGCGTCCTCTCCTCTCAGCCATCTCTTCCACGTGTCTCCCTCTTCCTCTCCCTTTCTAGCGCTCTCTCTCTCTCTCTCTCCCCCTCCTCTCCCTCTACCTCTCTTTCTCTAGCTCTACGTTTCTCCTCTCTCTCTCTATGTCCGGACTTCCACAATAATGCGAGCTCCATCGGCGGGATAGTACGACGAACGCGCAATTTGCGGCCGAGCTCTGGCTTTCTCGAATAATTGATGCAATTTCCGGGTTGCGAGCGAGCTGCGAATGACCCCGAGAATTTGGATTTTAGGTAGATTCACGAGATGTTCACGTCACAAAGTGAACATTAATATCCGCATACTCCCCCGAACGGTATTAAATCGCGAACAATGGACTTTTCTAAATACCCGGATTCCTATCTTCCGTACGTACGGACGTTGAATAATTGCTAATTTTCGGAAAATCTCATCCGAGTCCCGTCCCACCCGCGCCGAGTCATCAGTTTTACTCCAACAATCGCCTCAACATACGCCGCACACGTATCACGGGGAAAACGGTTTTGTCTACATACATTTGCAAACATAATCCGTTTAATTTACAGACCGTACCCCCTTCGCGTGCCTCGCTGATATCATTCATCGCGCTCGCTCGCCCGTAACAATCATTCACGAGATTATGCTAAAAACGTCACAGTCGAACGATAGTCAACGCCGATAACGTACACGACACCCAAGCTCGTCACAACTGGACGGGAGGAGAGTAGGAGGATACACTTCTATATATCCTGTCGCCTAACTACCGCTGACTTCGCGGGCTAATTCTATTAGCCTTCCCCTCCCCGGCGAGCCTACCCGCTCGCGTTCCTGCGGGATTAATTTCGCGGCTTCGTTCGCCAACCACGCCGTAAGTTTCCGCGTCGTCTGGCCCTGCCCGGGCATGATCGACGACCTCTTCCCAACCGCGGCGGCGGCGGCGTCGCTAACTTTTTCGACGAGCCCGATGTTTCCCATCCGCTAATGGCGTATTCCTTTAATCGCATTTACCCTAACTCTCTTTATCCCAGCATCGACTCCGGTTTACCAACTTGTTCGCTTCAGCTTCGGAGAAACATCTGTTTTATTATACTCCATGCCGTTTCGAATTGATTAACAAAATGTGCCAAACGTAAATTAGAAATTCGACAAGACATTTGTTTAAAACAAATAAGTACGCGAGGCTCGCGGAATCAAGTCTTGTTAATAGAGGAAAGTCCTCCATTATGAGATAGCAGGCTTTCAACGTCGAAATTCGATCACTTCGATCTTTTTTCGCGACGATTACACGACCTAACAATGAATTTTCCACTGAACATATTTCACCCCCAAGGGCGATAAATTCATGGTGGAACCAACAGATGATGCCTTGATGCCTATTAATTTAGCAGAAACTCCGCTGTCTCATATTAGGGGACTTTCCTATATTACACATTTTCGCTGAACATGATCGTGGAGTCTACGTCTCTTCGAATAATAATTCGACTTTGAAATCGCTGATTGTAGCGATATATCATTTCATTGACTGACTTTATTATGTTGTCCGTTCGTTTTTAATATATCGGGCGGTCAGTAAATTTACGTTTCCGGTACGCGCTTCATCATAGTTCGAAGAATTGGAATATTCAGGACACGGAAACAGCGGATTAATCCGTATTATGAATATTTGATCGCATCGCGCAGAACGCAGCGGGATGAACTTTAAAAGGCTCTCTCCGATGCAAATTAATGCATGCCGTAAAAAAGGCCGGCAGACGTGGCTTTTGCGATACGCTATCCATAATTAAGTTGTAGATTAGTTTTAGCGGATTAAACGAAAATAAACTAAAGCCGTACGCGAGTTATATCGAATCCTTAGCAAGCTAAAGTTTCTACTTTAATGACGAACTAGAAATATAACTAATTCAAGGTAAAACAATGATGAAAAATACCTAATTTAATGTCTCAAAATTCATGGCGTCCTTTCGTGTCGTTTAAAAACGATTTTCAAGTCCACACTGGCAACGAATTCAACGTCTTTTTAATTTTATCTAAAGCACGGCGAGTTACGAGAAATCGATATTCTGTCTAGATGCTTCGTTCCAAGTATTCCAAAGAGTTAAAACATTTTAATATAAAACTGTAATTACGCAAGGCGACACAAAAGAAATTACCATCATCTCAACGTCGTCCAAAATAATTGATATTTTTCTAGACACGCTTCTAGCGACGCTCACAAAGAAAATTGCTATAACTAATAACCGCGACTAAAGCAATCGCGATTGTGTTATCGATTTCCTTTATCGATGTACTCTTCAAATAGTTGGCACGAAAGCCGTAATTTACAGAAGCTGTAAGAAAGACCTTTCTTTGCTGAACTCCAGGTCACCAGTGGCTGAAAACGAATCTGGACGTGACACCCGAGTCAGGCTGGTCCGTCGACCCGTTCGGCCACGGCGGCACCATACCCTACTTCCTCAGGGCCTCGGGCGCTTCCGGCACGGTGATCCAGAGGATACACTACGCGTGGAAGCAGTGGTTCGCCAAGAAGCAGTACGGCGACTTTGTCTGGCGGCAGCCGTGGGACCGCGACGGCGCCGCCGACATGCTCACCCACAATCAACCCTTCGACATCTACAACATCAAGCATTCGTGCGGCCCGCACCCGCATGTCTGCCTCAACTTTGACTTCCGTAAGATTCGCGGCGAGTACACCGAGTACTCGGTCCGCGCCGTCGAGATCACGCCCAACAATGTCAAGCAGATGGCCGAGCTGTTGCTGGAGCAGTACGCGAGAACCGGCTCGTTGTTCACTCACAACGTCGTGCTGATGCCGCTCGGCGATGACTTCAGGTTCGCATAACTTCGTTACGAGAAACAGACTTTCCTCACCCGCAGACAAAATTTCCGGATCCAATACTGTTACACTTGAATGTAACATAAAATAGGATCGATATAGCGCCAATCATATTTATCATAGAGAAAGGAATATTTAAAAAATTCTCAAATCTAGAATAAAATGACAGTATGTATGAATATCGCTGTGCCAACTTCGTGCGTTGTAAGTTGGAGGGGAAATTTATTCTAAACTTACATTTATATAAGTTACTCTTGTCTCAATATAGTGAGTCCATCTTTTTTAATTTGACGGAGGAGAATAAGAATTATTGATTTTATTTTGATACTGTCTTATTTTTATACTAAATGAGGTTCTGGGAAATATAAATGCGTGAAGAAAATTTTTTGCCTCGGTAACAGAAATCCTTTCTGAGGGTGCTCGGTTTCCACATATTTGTCTGTGATTCCCTTAAATCTCGTCATTTCGTATTTTTCTTAACGCTATTATTCTGGAAGGGAGACGCGCAGCAACGTTTTCTCTTGCCCTTCAAAAGTCGCAAACTCTTAATACCTTTATTAATTAATAATTCAATTATAATTTGATAGATCACTACTTTAACTGGACAATTAGTATGCTATTAAACGCGATGTATGTTGCTGTTTGCAACACATATATGTACCGAGAAAACAGAACAGATCGCTTCTATCGATGAAACGTCACGTTTCCCCGCTATTTCAGATACGACCACGCGATCGAGTGGGATCAGCAGTACACCAACTACAAGATCCTGATGGACTACATAAACAGCCGCAAGGACGAGTACAATGCCGAGGTGGTGTTCGGCACACCGAAGGACTACTTCCGCGAGATACAAAAACGCGTGGACAAGTTCCCGTCGTTGACAGGCGACTTCTTCGTGTACTCGGACATCTTCAGTGAGGGTAGACCGGCCTACTGGAGCGGCTACTTCACCACCAGGCCGTACATGAAGATTCTAGACCGCGAGCTCGAGGCGAATCTCAGATCCGCCGAGATCCTCTACACGATCACACTAAATCTCGCCAAGCAGTCCGGCAAGGATATAAAACTTTACGAGACGTATTTCGAGAAGCTGGTGAAGGCGAGGCGTAATCTGGGCCTGTTCCAGCATCACGACGCGATCACCGGCACCTCAAAGTCCTTCGTCATGAAGGATTACGCGCTGAAACTCTTCGAGTCGATCTCGGACACGACGAGCCTGCAGAGCTTCGCCATCCAGTCGCTCGCGGCCACCGTCAGCGGCAAATCGAATTCCGTCTATGTGCTGGCCGAGTCGGACAGGGACAGCTACGAGAAGTTGCCGAAGAAGATACCAATCGGCGTAAACAGCCACGAGACCAAGAAGATCGTTCTGTTTAATCCACTGGCGCAGCCCAGACAGGAAGTAATCAGTCTCAAAGTCACGTCATACAAAATCAAAGTCCTGGACCCGCAGAGGAATCCCATACCCTACCAAATCGCGCCGGTGATGAACGCCACGAGCATCACGCACGACGTGTACGTGCTACTCTTCGTGGCCGAGCTGAAACCGCTGTCGATCGCCACGTACCACCTGCGGCAGGTCGACAAGGTGCCGGCGGAGGCCATCTCGACGGTGTATTGCAGCCGTTGCGGCAAGGATAACGTATTTCCCATCAAACCCATGCAGGTAGGCGACGTGCAGCTCGAGAATCAGCGGATGAAACTGCTGTTCGACGGACAGACGGGCTTCCTGAAGCGCGTGACGAAGAAATCCACCGGCAAGATCATGCAGTGCGCCGTACAGTTCGCCGCGTATCCCTCGGCGCAGTTCCACAGCGGTGCCTATCTTTTTATGCCCGACCCAAACCTCCGGGACACCGACAAGGACGTCCTGGAAGCGTACACGCCGCACCAGAAGATCTATATCGTCAGCGGTAGCTTGAGTTCCCGCCTCACCGTCGAGTACGGCAAGTTGTTGACGCACCACGTGGCCATCTACCATCACGAGGGCGGCCTCGGCGAGGCCATCTACTTGCGCAACATCGTGGACTTCGAGACGCCGCCGAAGAACCGCGAGACGGAGATGTTCATGCGCCTGCAGACCGACATATCGAACGGCGACCCACCCGAGTTCTACACCGATCTCAACGGCCACCAGATGATCAAGCGCACGAAGATCGAGCGCATCGGCATCGAGGGCAACTACTTCCCCATCACGACCATGGCCTACATCGAGGACTCGAACCACCGGCTGACGCTCTTGGTGAACCACTGCCAGGGTGCGGCCAGCTACCAGCCTGGCTGGCTGGAGGTGATGCTGGATCGCAGGACTCTCTACGACGACTCGCGGGGCATGGGCGAGGGTTTGTTAGACAACCGGCGGACCGTCATCAAGCACTGGCTGTTGCTTGAAGACATCAGCGGCGAAAAGGACAGATATTCGAGGCCGTCGCTGTTCGCCAATCACCTAAGCAACACTCTCAACTATCCGGTGAACATCTTCGTGGTGGACGGCAGCGAGCAAGAGGTGACGATGGCGCCGGAGGTTCGACTGTTGAGTCAGAGCTTCCCGTGCGACCTACACCTGCTCAATCTGCGCACCAACCACGATCAGAAGCTGCCGCATTTCCCGGTCAACAGCGCGCTCATGGTGCTGCATCGGCAGGGCTACAGCTGCTCCGTGGGCATTGACGTCGCGCTCAAGCACTGTCCGCTCACGGAGAGACTCGTTCAGGGAACCGCGTTCTACAAGCTCGACAAGGTCAACGTTACGAAGACGTCGTTGACCGGCACGAAGCCGGGCACACGCCTGAAGGACGGTTTCCACGAGATCGGCCTGCGACCGATGCAAGTCGAGACGTACAATGTAAACTTCGTACAATGATCCTAAGCCACCTGCCAGTCGGCTCGACGTTCCCGACGCGTTCGCGTTGATCGGTTAGCAAAATTCCAAGAGTACACAGGCGTCTCGCCCCTTCCAAATGACACTGCCGTATATTAATCGCATTGAATACTACCTCTTTGACTCTTTGTGTAACGCGCGTTGGCGGTAATGAGCGCAACTTTGCGGAAACGGTACCGAAGCGAGGGTAATCAATAATTTCTCGCGGGTGAACAAATGGGACGAAAAATGTGACAAATAACGTTGACCACTCCGGGACAATTGAAATAAACGATTGACCCGTATGGTTAAAATTAGTTCTCTCGTGTTAGGATTTTAAAAAATTAACAAAACAATTTTTAATCGACAACCTCGTTGCTCCACGGACGTGCGAGGGAGGCATTTTAATGAATTTCTTTCGACACTAATCCTGACAACGTATTGGCCTAGTAAATCGTGTTTTTATACAATTCTCCTTTCTCTCGCACTCGGTTTCTTTTCTATCGCTCGAAGAAGAGGAGTAAAGGGTTTCATGGCAGATCAAAGATTAGTAATTGAATTAACGTAAGAACTTTCCATTCCAAGAGCTTAGCCGAATTTTGCGAGACGCACGATGCTTTGGTTGCATCACATTTTCCGAGAAATTTTTTTCTTTTAATGGCAGGAAGCGCGTGCGTGTAAATATTTCGATCGATGCAACACAATTTATTGCTAATCACGACGAACGTGCAACGCGTGCGTGCACCATTGTACATATTGTTCCTGTACGACGTACCCTTGCGTTTTATTATCAAACGGGAGGGAGAGGGAAGGGAAGAGGCGAGAGAGATGTATACACGCGCAGATATATAAGTACATTAGTAATTTACTCCAAACAGAGTCTGAGATATCTAATTATAATAATATACGTATATTCGCTGGAACGAGATATTTGGGATCAGGTTTATCTCGATCTATTTTACTCATTCGAATTTCAAACGATTCTTCCATAATTTAATACCTTCATCGCGGGGGTGTAACTTTAACTCTGTATTTATTACGATTTTAGACGTAGGACTTAGCCGACCCTTAAACATTACTTTGTCGTTACCTTATCGCGGTATAAAAATTCCTCCATTTCTAAATTTTCTTATTTAATTGCCAAAACGTCGCCCGAACGGCAGCAAAATGACATTCCTAACTCGCCGCATTTCTTCGCGACGGCTCGTTTTCAAACGCGAAAAGTGATTTCACGGGAGACACGAATGGGGCCATAGAGTCAGGCCTGAGAACAAAAGAATAAAAATTTCATAGTTCACCTTTTATCTGTTCGCACGGCTGTTACCGCGGACAAACGGACTGACGGCTGACCGACGCAAAAATTTCTTTTATCAAGCGTACAGAGATATATATGTGTATATATTGTATCGTATATGTATATATTACATATCAGGTCGTAACTTGCCCTAGATAATTACCGATACCGTAGACAACCTTTGTGATAGCGAAACGATGTAAAGAAAATCTTATACATCTATTTTCGTATGTCAGATATTTTGCTATCGACCCTCCCTCTCTCCCTCTCCGCGAGTATCGACAGTAAGTGTCTTCTTGTAGACGTGGGGGCCGCGCGATTCCGGGGATCGCGCGCACAATCCGAAGATGTAGTAAAGTGTGATGCGTGTAAAATAAACTTGCGTGCCAGACGACGACGAGGAAGCTATCCTCTCGGAGATAACGCGGGGCGGAGCGGGAGTCTTCGCGAGGTACGAAGACATGATTCGCACTGAATTGTAAATAATTTAATACGACGAGTTCTCGCAGCTCTGCGGACGTTAACGAACGTCACCGAATGCGGAATCTGTCTCTCCTTGTTTCCTCTCTTTTTCTTTTCCTTTCTCAAAACTTCCGGGGCATTTATGTCACGCGTTAGATCGATAACGAGATACCGTACTCCCGTGGAGTCCTGTGTAACTTTATTACGACTGTGAACGATAAGTATTGAGACTCGCGAACGATAAATGTCGCAGAGAGAGAGAGAGATATACTTTGCGGTGTGTATCGTCGCGCGGCGTTCCCGGCGATCTTCCACTTCCACGGGGAGTCTCGAAGTGTCCCTTTTTGCGGCTGCACCGTCGGTCCGATTTGTACATATTAGATTAATTAATGGAAAGTCGTGCAGCTTCCGCGAGCGCGCGAGTGGACCGCCGCGCGTTTTCCTCCGGCGCGAGGAACAAGAGAGGAAATTAGTTTCTCCGAGGGTGCAAGAAATAATGTAAAATGTGGTCGCTGCTCCTGCGCGAGGGCGGCAAGCAAGATGTTCGTCGCTTCTCCGCGCACGGGCTCGCAATTATTACAACGTAGCGTTTTTTAATTCACGCGAAAGATGTGTATCTACGTAAATTTTCTTATTTAAAGTAAAGGTCCGTATTTACAAATACGGTGCGAATACGGTGAAAACTTCCTGGTGGTTTTATACTTCGACGTTGTCTCTTAAGAATTTTATCGCGCGCGTGTAAACTGCTGCCCGCAATTCTAATGTATAAACCATCAGAGATTGTAGATTTCCAGCTCGTTCGTTTTAACAATAAGTTTATTCAGTTATTTACAGGTAATCGACATATTTTTATCGTCACGCTATCGCTAAGAGATGTAACACGTTTGCAGTTAATTGCTTCTTTTAGCGGCACACGATGGCATCTGTCGCGCTAAATGTTACATTTTCGTTGAAACTAATTAGTTTTAGAAAAATATAAAATCAACAAGCGACTGGACTCTCGAAATTAAAAGTAAAATTTAAGGATTAAGGCTGTGAGAGTCACGACATGTCCTTTCGAGCGATCGGCTTGGAATTCACGCCCGTAGTGTTTAAATCTTCAGAATCTGTCGATGCTCCGTTGATTACTGGACAGAAACTAGTATAGTCAATCCTCTGGTTGACCAAACTGGATAATCATTTACGTGAATTAGACCCAATTCTCTCAGTCTACAATGGGGCGCACCTTAAATCGTTGAAGATGGTTAAAACCTCTAACCGAAACGTCCGGAACTTGTAATCGAGAACTGTATTTGGACAATTATATTACACTAATAATCGCGTTTGACTCTCGCGGTCTTAATCCTTCCATTTTTACTCTTAATTCGTTTTCGATCCGTTGTTAGTGTCAAATTTGTCATAGTTTGATTTCAGTCGTGAATCCTCTATCGTATCTCCTGACGCGAATTATTTCAAAGCGCGCATCGATTTGGTAAAAATTGAATATCGATCTGAAACGTACAACTTCGCGTTAAAAAGGCTGAAGAGGTCGGAGACGGCAGAAGTATATCGTGATAAGACTCGGTGTCGCCGAGTAATTAGGCGTCGGTTATGAAATTTTTTTCGATAGACTTATGGCTCCGATAAATTTCACGGTTCACGGCGCGAACGAGCGTTTATACGAGTTTAACGATGTTGTGTAAATAGAGGATCGTCGATGAAATCGTTAAACCGATAGTTCGTAAAGAGTAATGGAAGATAAAGGACGGGCGGATGGGTGCACGGGTAAAGTGTAGCAAGTTATCTCCTTCGTGCTGTTGTCACTATCAATCGTCGCGCATTATCACGTTTTTTGTCCGAAAAAAAATTTGCAAACAAATTCTATCTGCTCGCATACGTCAGTTCGATAGAACTGTCCTCTTATAACAAATCCAAATTTAACTCCCGGTTCTGTCTTTTGGTGTCGAGCCTCTGGCATTAATTGGGCGAATTAAACGGTATTACCTTATTTTGTTATTACGTAATCGGTTCGACATTAATTCATTGTGTGCACTAACGACACTGCCCACGATAACATATCGTCCGCTCCGTTTAAGCTTAAATGTAACGAATCAAAACAGAGAAGGCAGCGAGATCTCGCCGTGGACGGTTCTGCGAGACGCGGATTCGACTCGTTCGAATAATTTCAACGTCGCGAAATTGCGCTCGCCCTTTAAGAGCGCCGTCGGACCTCCACGCCGGGATTTCTGCGAGTGTCGACGAAATGCCCGAAATTGCCGAGCGGCGAAAATCGCTCGGCGCCACAATGACTGTCCCTGTAACGATATTGTAACATACTGTATGTTTTGTGCCGTCGTTAGAGAGAAAGAAGTGTTCTATATCACAAAGAATAAAGTTATATTACATGTTCACACACGCCGTCGCTCGGACGATTCGCAAAGGGCCCCGGCCGTTTGGAATCGCGCGAGCGCGGGACGCGCGAGTGGCGATGATTACATACGATATTCCTTATGTTACAATGTAATATTATATTTATTAAATAAAACTAGTAACTGACGTATTTTGATCAGCCGCGTTGTTTTCTATGCCGCACGGCGCCCCTTCGATAAAAGCGGGCAAAAGTAATCGAGGAGACTGTTAAAAGGCTCAATAAAATCCAGTCCTTTGTGCAAACGTGCTCTCTGTCACGTTTTGTTTTTTCGTAACGAGGCACTTGAAAGGAGCTCGGTTTTTCTTCGTATCAGATGTACGACTTTTCTGCAAAGTTTTTATTCTCCTCTCATTTTTTTCGCATATACATATATAAATATAATATACAGGTGTCATATATTTAGTAAGAACACTAATAATTTTAATGCTCAAAGGAGAAGCATTTATAATTTTGCGACACTGACAAAACAATTTTTTCTAACTAAGTAAATAGATTTACTAGAAAAATTATTTTTTTACTGAGGTAAATATTTATTCTATTTAAATAAAAATATCAAATTTCAAGTAAATCTTGTGTTATATTAAGTCAATTAATTAAAATCATTACATTCTCTACGTTCAAATAAAGATTTCGCGAGATATAGAATATAATTTATAAAATGAAATAATTGTTTTTGCTAAATAAGAAATCCAATTTTCTTTGCTGTGAAAATTACATTGGTAGTAGACATTTTATAGAATCAAAATAAAATTTAAAATTCTCTACTCTTTGATATTTTATAAATACTCAAATTAAAGCAACGCGTGTATCAATTTGTTTCTTATTTTTTTAAATTTAAGTTAATAAGCTATTAGGAGCCACCTAATGAATCCTTTTCTTGAGTAAAGTAATATTTGATTGGATTAAGATATTTTTTTATCGGTGTAGTAACACGCAAGAAATATTTTCGCCAATTAATTCGCGCGGGCATGTAAATTATTCGATTAATGACACGAATGTCTCGGCGTTCTGTTTTCACCTTGCTCTTCTCCGGAAAGCATTAAACAAATGAAATATGTAATCGCGCAAGCGGAGGGAAGCGTCTGGACTAAACGTTAATCGATACCGTTCCTTGACGCATAACTCTCATTAATGGCGATTATACGATATTCCTCGCGACGATAAATGCCTCGCTCGTGCCGATATCTCGCCTACTGACTGTGTAATTAAATCCACAATAAGACGGGGACCGCAGACGCGGAATCAAGAAAATTGCGGGCAGGCTCCCATCGCGCGAAGAAGATTAATTTACATATTTCACCCCCGGCGACACCCAGGTCGCCCCCCTCGAGCCCTTTGTATATCGCCCATTCAGATAAAACCGCGAGGCCTAGATAGTTAACCGGATTATAAGATCGTAAAGATGGCTTTGCAGAGTTATATAAAAGCGCGGAAATCGCAAATTTCTCTCCGGGCGCAATTAAGTTTCTCATCCCGGGAGTTTTATTTTGTAAAATTATTTAATATCGCAACAATGACTTTAATTAATTTTACCGAATCCACCTGCTCTTTATGCATTAAATAAGAACGGCGGGAGCGAATATTCGCTCTACTTGTACCTTGGGTTACATTTTCAAAGATTACATTTTCGGGGAGGGGAAAAAATGGGAGAGGATATTCGTACGGTTCCGAAATCTCGGGTCCGCTTTCGCCGGTGGGATCAAAAGCTACGCTAATTTATAAAGCACACGGATGGATTTTGGTCCCTCGCACGATGATTCAGCCCGACGTAGGCGGAAAAATGGGATTTCCGACGTCCAGGTCCCGACAGCTGGAATGAACATCGCGCGCTCGCGCGTGCCTTCGTTATACAAGTTTTAATTACAATCGATTCAATTTCCTTCTACGCCGGGGACGGAGTTTCCATTCGCCCACCCATCGGGATACTTCGTCAGCTCGTTCGTGAACCTGACACTCGTAATACCCCGTTTACCGTTTCCGTAAGACCGGAGCGCGTGGCCTTTTTGCCGTTTCGATGGCTCGTCGAGCGCGCGCGGTTAAGAAATCTGTTCCTCGTTTCTTATTTAAACAATTGATAAAATTCACAAGGCGCTAATGTGAAAACGCAAACACGAAGTAATGAAGGAGTAAGAGCCAAGACAGGATGTTAGTGTCTAAATGATTTCAATTTTAAGTCTACACACGCCTCGCTGGTCGAATTAGTGAGGAGAGTCTAGGTTCAAAGTTCAAACCCTGGCTGAGGTATTATTTTTCGCAATGGACTTAAAATTAAAATTATTTAGACACTAACATCCTGTCTTGGCTCTTATTCCTTTATTACTTCGTGTTTGTCTTTTTTTATTCTTTTTCCTCCACGAAAGTAGTCGCAAGGTATGTGCCGCGAAGATCTCCTTGCAGAGCAGTTGTCATTTAATCGCAGAGAATTCCATTAATTTCCTCCGCGCGGGTACGCGGTGAAAAAGTAAGTGTCAGATCAACTCTTATGTGCTCAAATTAACGCATTCATTGTTTTGCATATACGCAACAATCTGTAATATTCTTGGAAGCATTTAATAATCTTACATTCCAACAATATTACAGTCTTACTTAAATATTAATTTGAAGAATTCATTGGTCAAGGCCTCGTAAATTTCGCTCGACGGTATTCTTTGTTACCGTGTTAATTTTAATCATTGCAATCTTCGATCCAGTATTGTTTCCCTTCCATTCAAGAAAATTATCCTGAAATAATAAACATATATTTTTCTTGGCTGAATTATATAATTATATAAATTGCTTCTTTCTAACAAGTTTCTCTTCCTTTAACGCAATATGTATAATCTGATTTCACGATTTTCACGTTGAAAGTGAACATGTTTTCAAAAGAAGATTCTTTTTTTCCGTGTAGCAGCAGAAATTTGCCAAATTCTACATTGCGTATTTTATACTTAAAATTAAAAACGGAGGAGAATTGTATTTTTCCCCCGATTTCTTGCTTTTCTATTGAGAATGTATAGTCGCATCGGTTAAAAAGAGAAGCAAGACAGAGTTTCACTTTGATGCAGTAGACTTTCTTTTTGCGAAAGAAAATTTTCGCCATTCAGGACGATACTCGAGCGTCTCTGGAAGTTAATGAATAATTTGCATTTTTTTGCCGCAAAATTATACGCGCGCTACAGCTGATATTGTACTATCGCGCGAATCGGGCAAGATCGCGGAATTTATTCAAAGATATTCAAAGGAAAACGCCAGCGATTTTCCTCGCCGAGATTGACTGCGGCAAGAAAAGCTCGACGGAACGAGCGTCGCTTAGCCGCCGGTTATGAATATTTATAAATCTTAACCCGCCGTTACATAAGTCACGCGAATCGATCGAAGCCTTTTTTTCCCAAGATTGCTTTCTCAATGAAACTTGCAGCAATTTCTCGCATAAATAATTATATGGTCAAGCTCGAACGTTCAAATACGGAACGTTAACAAGCGCTATTATTACGCGAAATATTTATAATATTTTCCATTTCCAGAGAAATCTGCACGAGCGAAGAACAGTCTTTCTGAGGTACGCGAAAAGATCTCCAAATTGCGCGGGTATAAAGTAAAAGTTCCGGTACGCGAAAAGAAATTGCTAAGAAATAAGATTGCTGAGAGGCGCGGCAAGTCCTATGAAAAATCTATCTCGGGTCTCGATTAAAGCCATCCTGTTCCTTCATCGTCCATTATAGTCTACCAGCAACTGCTGTTCTCATTAAGGGGATGCTGGTGTGATACTGCACCTTTTGCATCTAGAACTGTCAATTCACGAAAACATTTGTGTAATATATAATACAAATTATGTGGCTTTTGTGTTCAGACCGACATTGACCTATTCGAATGAATAGATTTCTTGTTAGACTTCTAAATTTATTATAATTTCATTCATGGTATAAGGCTGATGGCAGAGAACGATCCGTAAACGCTTAGGACTGACTTGCAAACAGTTAACAAAAAATTGAAAAACCAAGCCGCGAGCAGCCGAAGTATATGAAACTCTCCGCGGATTGTATATCTTATGGTATACCTTATACCATGGTATACCTCGTATACCATGATTCGGACTAACTCTCTAACAAGAAATCTATTCATTCGAATAGGTCAATGTCGGTCTGAACACAATCGCTGGAGCACGCCGAGCTGAAATGCAGCGCGGCCGTGTGCACCGTGCACGACGCTCGTCGTCTCTTCTTGTCAACGTTGACGTCTTAACGTCGAGTAATTAGCGCGGGGACAATCCCGGGACGCGTGCCGTGGATAATCGAGAATCTCGTTAGGAACCGCGAAGAAGCGAAGGCGTTTTCCGCCGGCATCCATAAACGTCGCGCCTGATGGGCGCAGATAGGCAACGTCGGGATGAAAGCGGCCCTTTCTGTATCGCGTCGTGGCTGATACCCGCGTGTATAAGACCGCCCCGGGATTCCGCTAGTCGTCGTCCGTGTTGCGGTGCCGTTAATTTATATGGAAATATAAGCAGTCCCGCGGATTATAAGCAGCCGCGGCTGCTCCTTACCGCGCGACGTCTTGCAGCAAATTATTCCGACCGCCGCCGTCGTTGTCGTCGGGAGACAACGGGGCGAGCCCAGATTATTCGCCGCCACCTTCGCTGTAATATCATTAATAATTAGCGGTATTGCGGACCATTTAAAGCACGCGGCGAGCGTCACTTCGCGCCATTTTATTTTAATAGCGTTGTAAAGCATTAAATGAGGATCGCGGTGCCCGGCTAAAAACTCGGCGAAGTGTTATTTGTTTAAGTTTCAAAACGTACAGAGTTTTTCTCGTTTCCTTTGAAAAGACTGAATTACCTTTCAGAAATAAGGAAAATAGCTTTTTTTCCCATTCTTTTGAATTTCTTACTTCTGGCATTTCTAGTTGTTTTTGTATGCTTTTGTTACCGCGGCAGTTTCGGAAGGCGCGGTTTAGCTAGGATACGTCGAGCCGGCGTGTTCTCGAGTTAATTATCGTAGCGCCGCCGCGTTTGTCAAAGTCGAAATCCCCGCGTGCGCCGCAAAGGCGAATATATTTGACTCGACGTCAAAGCCAAGAGATAACGTTAACACCAGTCGGTTGCCGCCGTATACAACGGCGGCGGGGGAGGAGGGATAGTTTTAATAAATGCTCAT